ACAATACAAGTAAGCAAAAGCAACACATCAGTAGAAGTAGAAGAGTCCTTTGCAAACATGGAAAGAGGAAGATGAATCTTAACCGTTTAACAACTGCTGAATCCTAGTGTGGAGACAGAACAAGAAAGTGATGTTAACCAAGATTCTGAAGATGTACTATTCCTCATATCCATGTTATACTATAAAAGATTCATCCTTTATGTCTTTGTATTCCCTGAATCTACATACCCTGAAAGAAGGTAAAAATTTTATTCAGCAAGAGAAGATATTTGTCACCCGTATCAAAAGGGACAAAGGGTGGAAAAGAAACAAACAAAAACGAAATCACATGAAGATTTTGTGATTTGGAAAAAGAACCAACGAAAGAGAATAAAAGAGAGAAAGAGAAATCTACAGAAAATGTGAAAGTGTGAAGAGAAAGAGAAAGAGATCTCTCAGAAGTAAGTAAAAGGGTTGTTAGCTGCTAGACTAAAATATTGTACAATAAAAATACATCAACTTTCACAGTACAACAAAAGTTCATGTAGGGAAAAGGTACAAAAAGGAAACTAACAGTTTGGAGCAATATGATAAAGGAGATGATGATCATGAATGAAATGAAACGGCAGTATTTTTTTTATCAAAAAATTAATGAGAACCATTTCAACTAACATTTAGCATTGTTAAAAAAAGTTTATTTGGATAGTTAGAGATTTCATTTTTCTATTTTTTTTAGTTCTTGAAATTCAGCAAAGTAAATCTAGTATCTTCCAAACATCATCCTCGCTACTGCCTTACCTCTTTCAGTTTTTAATCTTAAAGTAGGACCACCCCAGAAAAGCAAATTTTGACCTTTCTGTATAAATTTAAAGTGAAATTCTATAGCCAATACATAGCAATCAGCAATGAGACAGAAGGTAATAATAGTATTATGAGGTTAAACAATTTAAATATTTAGCCGAGGCCAAAAAGCTTCCCCTGAACTCCAATGTCTGCTATATTCACATGGGATATAAATTCCTCTAAGGAGCTTTAATCATTTTGATTTTTAAAACTTGCTATGACATGTCTCAATTAAACAAGGTTATTAAACCAAAGAGGTGTTTGCTCCAACTAATAAACTATTGAATATGTTCGCTCCAACTAATAGAATGTTGAATATGCTCCTATAAAACTTTACAACTAACATCAATACCATCAGAACATGTTGGGTCTATAGTGTCATACATTAAATAAATTGAGGGAACTCATTTTTGGGGAGAATGTAGTAATTGAATAAAAGAGACTAAGCCGTTAGCTTCAGTCCTTCCTTTTCAAAGGAACTCTCAGGAACTTGCAGTACATCCCTTAGCCATCGTACACCAGGAAAACTAAACAAATTATAGAAAATTACAAAAAGAGATAGCAGCAAGAACAGTCAGAGAATCAAAATTAAAATAAAATCCAAGCAATCTGATTGGAAGCAATTTCAAAGCAATGGATATATGAGAAGAAAAACGTTGTTGTAATACCTGAAATTTGTTATATTGAAGCAATAATTAGAAAAACTTTAATGAACGCAGTATCGCAACTAAGAATCTTCCGTGAACATTGTTCACATTTCCAAATTTTATTTAAAAAGTTTTCAGAAGTACATTCATCAGGCTGAAATTACAACTAAAGTTAATTGAAAAACGGATGATAAAATAAGAGAACTAAATTTTCCTTATTAATAACGATATCTGAGCATAAATTAGACCTACCGCCATTGTTGTCCTTTGCGACAGCACTGTTGATGACTCATATAGTGGACGCAATACTTCGGGAACACTCCAGGGCTGGAAAAGATTATTAACAGCATTTTGTCAGAAAATTGAGAGGGAGAAGAAGAGTCTTATGTAATTAACAAATTAACATACCTCTAGATCCATATGGTCAACTATGTGAATGATTGAACCACCCCTCTCACAGGGTCGTATCAGATACCCACTTGGAAGCAGTTCTGCTCTCACGAAATTCTGCACCGGTGGCATGCTAGGACCATTCTGAGTGTTGTTTAGTGATCTCTCACATACCTAGAGTTGAAATTAGAGCAATTCATAACATAAGTTAACAAGGAAAAATGGACAGTTACCATTTCTTATTTGGTCTGTTTACAAGGAATATAATAACTACTGACACATACCACAAGGCTACCATCTTCCATAACAGATGTATACCGCATTAACCAGAAGTCACGAGCTGGTGCCAGAGTAGTAGGTGCATAGAGCTGAAACAAATTACAAAATTATATTCAATGAAAAATTATGATACGCACATGAAGTAAAGTAGGACCGGATATGAATTTTCTAAAAGTAACCTGCATGTATAGCAACTTAATGGTTCCACCGCTCTCAGTAGACATCACATGAGAACATCCACCGCTCAGCAATCACGGAACCATGATGGCTGATGTTTAAGGATCCCAGCAACCTTGATTAAGGAAAGCATAATTACATCTTGAATTCCAATAAAAATATTGAATTGATCAAGTTATTCAGGATGACACTTACTCTTGTAGGCTCTAGACCCACAAGGCCACAATCACGTGAGGCTACTCCTGAGCAACTATGAGAAATAGCAGTGATTCCAATGAAATCCGGACCAGGCTGTAGTCATGAAAGAGAGATATTCTTAAAGATAACAGTCACATAATTTTGTGTGCATATATAGCTATTATGTAATTAAATACGGTACATGTAAGTGTACACGTGATCAAATCCTCTAAAGTGTGACAGGTAGAGATTTATCTTAAAAAGCAAAGCTTCTACTGATGTGATTTATTGATGCAATTGTGTAATGGGAGCTGCTAAAACTTAGATTTTTTATGAGCCTGACAACATAAGCGGAGCAAGATTAATGAGTAAGAAATATCTTTTTAACTAAAACAAAAGTGATTATGATTAATTGATGATTAAATAAAGAGGAAGAAAGCAAGAAAATTCACTGCAGAGAGGATTTTTACCATGCGGCTCTTTTTGCCAAGAGACTTAAGAGATAATAATGCAAGAAAATAATGCCATGAAAGCGCAAGTCTAAAATATTTACAATTAAAGAACTGTGAATAAAGGAGTCATTTACCTAGTTAATAAATTGTTAACAACACTCCAATAACTTGATCATGACTTCTATAAATTGAAAGATAGGAAAGGAAACAAACCTTCATCTCAGGCATTTGGACCCACTCCACAGCGGTTCCAATGGCCTTCGATAGAAACTCTGTAAAAGTTTCCGTTGCTAAGGACAAAAGTCTGAAAATATTCATATATCATTAGACATGCTATGAAAATTAATGCAAAAAAAAGAAGGGAATTAGACTCAGAAAACGTGTACTTACCCCGCACGGCTTGCATTCCTTGGTGGACGCTGAGCGGACAAGTTTTGCTGACCACTCGTCACCACAGATTCACAACTATTGTTGTCTGTGGTGGTAAGGGCTGCCTGCAATATTGAAGTATGACAGTTAGGAAAAACTAAGTCATCGGGGAAAGAAAGAGAACGAAACTATTACTGCTCGCATGTACTCTTTAAAATTGAAACATCGAGTTGTATTGACAAAATGAAAAGCCATATACAAATACAGGTTTTATCTCTCCCGCTGACATCATTCTTTTCAAGCGTTAACCATCGAACTAAATAAAAATGCAAAATGTTTAGAAATACCATAAAATACATCATATGCAGATTCTTGCTTCTATAGGTAGCATTTCTAGGTTATATATTTCCAAACCAATTCTTTTCCTTGATCTTCTAAGTAATCAGAAAGAGTTGCCATAAGCAAAACCCAAAACACAATCTTTAAAAAATCGAAGAAGAAGACAAGTAAGAATAGATTGCTTACAGTTTGAGTCTGTTGGCAGAAAAAGCTGTTCTCATACACCAACTGTGAAACTTGCTTCTGCAGCCTATCATTTTCCTCCATCAACAGCTTATTCATTGCTGTCAATTTTTTGTTCACGGCTTGAAGACGCGACGATTCTTTACGTTGCTTCTCTCTACATCTGCACTTGCACAATACAACACGGTAGTCATCTGAATAGTTCAATCCAATATGCATGAAAGGAAAGCAAAGCAAGTTTCAAAATCCAACAGGATAATTTTGCTGGGTACCTTCTATTCTGAAACCAAACCTTGATCTGTTTTGGCTCGATATTGGACAGAATTGGTCACTCCCGAATCAGCTGCTGACGACGGAGTGAACTGAGCTTTGGACATTCATGATATAATCTCTCCAAAGCCTCAACCTGCTCAGGAGTGTACCTCACATATTTCCGATTATCCATCCCCATTTTAATGTCTTTACAGGCCGATGTCACCGCCATCATCACTTCAATAAAAATCAATTTTGAGAACCAAAAAAAAATCACCATCATGTGTAGAAACTGATAAATATGCTTAACTGCGTGCGTGAACTTTATTCTGCGAATTTCGAAGTACATGTTCCACAAACAAGATGGGTATTCTTGTGCTGAAATTGTATGTTCAAACTGTATGTTCAACTCTATTTAGTTCAGCAGACGCTATACAGTAACATGTAAAAGATTCACAAGAAAGCCTTTTGAATGATTTCATCATAAACTATATTGTATGTAGAATGATCGTCATCACTATCTGGGTTTGGCGGCCGAATTAATATCTTAACACAATTGGAAGCTTTCTCTCTCGACAATGCAACATAAAGCTGGCCATGTGAAAATACTGATTCTCGTAAAAATAAACCAACAAAATCTAATGTTTGACCTTGTGATTTATTTATAGTCATAGCAAAACATAGTTTTACTGGAAATTTTGTTATTTTAAACTGTGCTGGTGATTTTTCATCTTCTGGTGACATCAATAGTATTCTCGGAATAAACACATGTGTGTTTTTAAAGTCGCCGCTTGCAATTTTGCGCTTATAACATGTGTTTTAAAATCACAACATGTCAATCTTGTGCCATTGCATAAATCTTCACAAGGATTCAAATTTCGTAGTAATATAATTGGACAATTTTCTTTCAAAGTTAATCTGTAGGAGGTAAACCAGCAGGATTTAAAGAATGCAAAAAAACTTCATACTGACTTTGATCATTCGATTCACATGTTTCATCAATTGCAACAAATGTTTTAGCTTCTTTTGGAAATTTGCTTATAAGCATATCATTTATTTCATTTACAAAATCATTTTTCGTCATCAAAATAACACGGGAAGTTACAGAAGATGCATCACGGAAGAAAGCATGCATATTAGGAAATGTTGTTTCAAATAATGCATTCAAAGATTCCTGTTCGGTAGTATAAGGGACAATAAATGAATTTGGAATTTCAATTTTGTTTTCAGAAGTAAGAGGTTCTTTTCCATTTCCTATTCTCATCAAATATTCACAAAAGGCCGGATCAGTTTTTGCACGCATGTTTTCTGACAATTGCAATTTTTCAAGTCGGGGCCAAATGTCAGAATATAATAAACTCTCATGAATAAAATCTTCTCTTTTTCCATTTCGAACTACTGGTAGAGTTTGTCTAAAATCACCACCAAAGACAACAACTTTACCACCAAAAAGCACATTAGTATTCAAGAGATCTTTCAAAAGTAGACCAAAAGTTTCAATCATTTTCTTTTTTGCCATCGATACTTCATCCCATACAATTAATTTTGCATCTCGAATCAAACAGGCAAGTGAACTTTGTTTGCTAATATTGCAACTAAAGTTTTCATGAATGTCAATGGGAATTTTGAAACGGGAATGAGCTGTACGGCCACCTGGAAGAATCGAAGCCGCAATTCCAGAGGTTGCTGTTGCTAGAGCAATAAATCCTTTAGATCGCACAGTAGCTAATAAGGCACGATATAAAAAAGTTTTACCTGTTCCTCCAGGACCGTCAACAAAAAAAGCTCCTGCTCTGTTTGAAGATATTCTGTCTATAATCACATTGTATGCCATCTGTTGTTCACAATTCAACTTTTGTCGCAGTAGTAGCTCTTCTTCAGTAACGATTATGTTTCTTTCGAAGAATATTTCTCTTGCTTCTTTGGCAACCTTTGAAGCCTTGAAATTTTCAGGGATAAGTTTATACTCATTAATGTTATGTCCCATCGAATGTAAGATGTCATTGAGACAGTCTAAAACTTTATATCGAACTTTTTTTGTTCCGATGTCTGGTAAAATTTTGAAGTCTTCAGACATAGAGTCCTTAAATTTCTCCCACAATTCTCTTGGATTAGCAGGATCACAATATACTAACAATGTAGCAAATAAGCGTCTCAAACTACATGGCATTTGATAACTCTCAGCTTCTACCATATATTCAGCTACGTTATTGTCACAATGAAGTAGTCCTCTTTTTTGAGTTGATTCTCTGAATGTATCGCAACGTACTTCATTTACAGTTAGTAGGTCTTCATATGATTTTGGTCCTCTTATATTCATTAATAATAATCTCAGATAATATCTTTTACCTTCTGTTGGATGAAATGTTACAACACGTCCAATGACATTACCCTTTATTCGACGGGTCCACATTTTATGTTGTGCTGACCATACAAAATATTGTGGAAATTCTTTATACAGTAGATTGAGCTTTATTGCATCTCTATTTGTTTTGTTCATATCAAAAAATTCTATTAACATTGTTTTTCTAATCATAGGATTATTCATAATTGAGTTTATACTCGATGCACTCTTAAAAGAAACAAATTGTTGTCCTTCAAGATGTAACTGAAGATGATAAACAGCTGGTGTCATTTCATTAATAGGGAAACCAAATAAGCGCCATGTAGCCTCAGGCGGTGATACTCATCGAGCAGACTGATATTCTTTTATTTCATCTACTTCAACATTTGCGTCATTGTCATGTATGTGAAATGCAATTTTATCATGTCCTTTGCAGATGTATTTATAAATATATTTAACAGCTTTAATATCTGAACAAATTTCAATATTTATGTGACAATTGAATTTTTCAAGTAAGAATGGATTATAAGGGACAACCCATAAGTTATCGAAATAGTGATCTTTGACTTTCACAAGTCCTGTGTTCCGTCTTCGATAAATTGGGTAAGAATTTTTTCCTTTTGATGTTTGATCAGCAAAACTTCTTGGATAATTGAATTTGCAACAACCATTTTTCTTTTGCATACATGAATTTGTAGGATTTAACTTACCACAAGGTCCATGCATCATATGTTGGAGAACAAGTTTATATAAGGTTTCTTCAGCTTTACAATCAGGTAACTCAGCACGAACAATATTGTCATAAGATTCTGGAGTGAGTAGTTTGTATTCATTAGTAAGTATAATAAGGAAATGAGCATGTGGTAAACCACGTTTTTGAAATTCTATAGTATACATAAAAGCTGCAACTTTTTCAAAGATATTTCTTTTTAATATATCTGATTTTAGTTCTTCTATCTTTGCTCTAAAAACTCGACTAATTAAATCAGGTCTGTTCTGTGCTTCGTCAGTTGGTAGCAAGTGCTCTTTTATCTCGGGCCAAGATGGGTTACAAGTCATCGTTATGAATAGATCAGGTTTTCCAAATTGTTGTACCAAAGAAATAGCATCCATGTAGCATCGACGCATGTCTCTTGGTCCGCCTATATAAGTAACAGGAAGGAATGTTTGCTTTCCTATATTTGAAGCGTCTCTTTCTCCAAGTCTTAAAACATCAATGAGTCCTTGTAGCATTTCTATCCTAAAGAGATCTGGATTGAATGAAAAAAAGTCCAATCTCTGTGTTTCAAGTTTTATGTGTTCATCTACTGAATATTGTTGGAATAATCTTCCAGAATGCAAAGTTTCATTTGTTTCATCTTCTCTCATTTGGAATTTATAACAGTAATATTCACGAAGAGAGATATTATCTCTTTTTCGTTTTTCTTTTTCAAGATTTTGAGCTTCCATGTCAAGGTATCCATCAACAGAACACATATTTCTAATACTTGGTAATTCTTCGTGTTCACAATAGGCTCGACGTTTAGAAGTATCTTTTGGTTGTATAATTTTTTTAATGCCACAGTGCCATCCACTTTGACCATATGGAAACAATAGTGGATACTGTAGCGGATCATAACATCCGTAAGAGTAGTTCACTATTTGAGATCTATTGCTATGAGTGTAGATTCGAATATGAGGTGCAGAACTAACTTCGGTGATTTCTCTTTCAACCCATATCCCTGCAACTTCTGATGTAGTAGGAAGATTGTATACACGTTGATCCAAGCCTGAGTCAGATTTAAGTGCAATATTGTAGTTCGATAGATTTGGAACATCTATTAGGGATTTTAAGACAGTAGAATATGGATTAATTCTCAGTATGTTCATTAGTTTTTTGACTATTGATTCATGGATTTTGTCTGAGAAAGCCATTCTGTTAGCTAACTCGTTATCGTTGTCGTAGAAGTATAGTTGTAGATTTCTTGCTATTCCACTCGGAGGGAGTAAATCGTTGATAAAATGATACATCTTCCCTTGAACTCTAAATGTATATATACCACGATTTCTTTTTGCTAATTCTTTGTCAAAATTTACACCAGGTGATGTAAATGCAAACATATTATTGTATGTTCTGATATATGTTCGAAAATGTTTACATTCTTCGGTAGTACCTAAATATAAATTCTGTAATTCAGCAGGCATCTCATGTGAAACTAACTTGATCGAACTATTGTTACAGCAAAATCCAAGTGGTTCATATTCAAATATTTTTGGCACCACAAAATTTACAGTTAGGCACAGTTTTCAAGGGAATATAATCAGATTGTAATTGACCAACGTATGAACAACTTTTTTTTGTGAGTTATAACCTGTATATTTAGGTATCATTAGCATAAAACTACAAATTAGGTAATATACAACACTATCATAGTAAAAGATTGGGGCAAACCTTTTTTTCCAACCATTCTTGAGCTCATACTATTGTTTTCATTACATGCATGTGACGTTGAGCCTAATGCCAAAAAGTAATAAATTAGCAATAATAAAGTCGTTATGTATCGTAGACATATAACTCAATGTTGGATCCTTGATACTTACCTATTTCAAAGGAGTAGAAAGGATAAGTTATATTCTTTTGCTTTTGAATTGTAACCGGCAAAGCATCAACGTGAGGCTCGTTGGCTAATAGGGGAAACATCACACATTTAGCATCATTTAATTAAACTCACATGCAAAGACCGTGAAGTGACACTTCTATAAAAAGTGAAAGAACAAAAGATGTATTCTAACCTGTTGCTGAAGAGCCCACCAGAGGAACAGTTTGTTGCTGAAACTCAAATGCAGCTACAGTAGTGCCATGGAAACCAACATTGTCGGACAAATTACTTCTTTTTGACTCTTGTCTTTTTGTTCGTCGTTGTAGTAATAGTGCTTTTTTTTTCGGCAGATATTAATCTATACGTTTCATGTCGCCTAAGTTTCATCTCAGTTTCTGACTTTGCTGAGCAGACATGTTTGTTCTTTTGGTTAGAAGTCATTAGTCCTACAGAAGCACAATTATGAGAATTAAAACACAAGAAATAAGTGAAACTAGCTTGCTGCAGAGGTACCAGCAGAAACGAATAGCAACGGGATTAATCACTTGTTAATAAAGAGATAACTGTAACTTACGTCAAAATCATATATAATATTTAAAAAAAAGTTGTTGAATTGCATGGTTATTCACACATACGGAAGTTTTGATACCTCAAAGTGATCATTTGAAAGAAGATTAATCAAAGAAGATTAAAATTCCTAATAAGGAATCCGCCACAAGAACTTTTTCATACACTACTATACTTCAGAGAATTCTAATAACAAATTTCACTACTTTTCTTTGTATATTAGATATGGTTAAACTTTCACTTTACAAAAATTGCAAAGAGAATCAAATTACCCTTCGCTAAGGAGATTTGACGGTGAAGATCCTCTCCCAAATGAGGTTTATTCCAATAACCCTATCCATGATTTTGTTGGTTTAGCCAACAGGTTTGTCACTTTTTTTGTCTTCTACAAAGTCTTAATTGCAAAATAAACAAATTAATGGAAACAGAGAAAAAATCAGAACCCAACCTTAGTTTGTTTTCACCTTTACTGAAGAAAAGGCTAATCAAGCGAAAACCCGGAGTATCTTTTTGCAGAAGATCTGAAGCTTTGAACCGAGGAAAATACAATAAAGCTGAAAGAGGAATTTATGAAGAGGGTAAAGAAAAGCACGAAAGAAAACTTGTACCAAACAAAAGCAGAGCAAAGAATAAAGAGATTGGAAGCGGTGCTTTCTACCTGGCAGATTAGGGTGTCAAGAGAACAAGAAATGACAAAGATACCCTTATGATGAAGCAGGCATGTTGACCATCAGCTCCTTGCTTATCCTCTCTTATAGTATAGTATGAAGAGGGTAAAGAAAAGCACGAAAGAAAACTTGTACCAAACAAAAGCAGAGCAAAGAATAAAGAAATTGGAAGCGGTGCTTTCTACTTGGCAGATTAGGGTGTCAAGAGAACAAGAAATGACAAAGATACCCTTATGATAAAGCAGGCATGTTGACCATCAGCTCCTTGCTTATCCTCTCTTATAGTATAGTAGTAGATATATCATGTCTAAACTTGTAAAAATAGCACGGTATAGCCAGTTTTCGGACTGGTCAATCAAAAATAGCCAGCGTTTATCAAGTCAATAAAAAATAGCCACTATTTTGCTGCAATAGAGGCCGGTCCAGCATAATATACTGGAGTTCGGTGCACTTGTGTATGAACTCCAGCATATTATGCTGGACCGGTATACTTTGCTGGCTCCAGTATAATATACTGGAGACTGGAGCACCGGTGCTCCAAACTCCAGTATATTATACTGGACCAATATACTTGCTGGAACTCCAGTATATTATGCTGGAGTTCTAGTGTACTTATGCCGGAATTCCATCATATTATGCTGGAGTTCCAGCATACTTATTCTGGAACTCCAGTATAATATGCTGGAGTTCAAGTATACTTATGCTGGAACTCTAGCATAATATACTGGAGTATTTTCCGGGTTTTGAATAGTGTTTTCGCTCAGATTTATTTTTATATAAAAAGTGGCTAAATTTCGATTACTTTTGAAATTGGGCTATTTTTGAACGACCAGTTGTAAATCTGGCTATTTTTAAAATTTACCCCTAAACTTCCTTAAATTCACGCATGCCTAACTAATGTTCTTTATCCTCGTTAGCAGTCAAAGGCTATGTTGAGAGAGCATGAAAAATATGAGGAAACCAAAGATGTGAGAAAGTTTCTTCCCCCTATCATAGCCGGCTATTTAAGTAAGGAATTTTTACCTCCTATAGCAAAGGTTGATACCTTATTTATTTTAAATAAATATTATTTTAAAAAATTATATTCCATCGCTACCTTTTGATTTTTATAGCCAAATATCTATTTATGGTCATCTCCTACCCTTAAGCCATAAAATACGCTTTTTATTATTTTTCTCTCTCATTCTTTCAGATTTTTCTCCACCATCTCTCTCTCTCAACGCCAGTTTTCTCCATGAATACAAACTCATGGATTCTCTCTCATCCGTTCCTCCGTCAATCGTTCTTCCTCCTAGAAAGCTTCTCCGGTACCACCACCATCAACGGCGAATCTCCGCCCTTTCTTTTCACGCCGAGCCAAAATCACCGTCTCCTCAATTCCGGATGCCTAGAAGTTGTAATAGAATGATGTCTATGGTTGTTTGTTGCAAATTGTATAATAGCTAAATTAGGATCGTTTTGTGTGGAAACCAATCCCTTCAACAATGGCAGGTCCATCTAGCTCATGGTCGCGAGCTTTGATACAAATCTCTCCTTACACTTTCTCAGCCATCGGAATCGCCATTGCGATTGGCGTTTCAGTGCTTGGTGCTGCTTGGTAATTCTTCATTTATCTCGTTTATTGCTCTCGCTAGAGTTAGAATCGCGGCCCTCTCGACGAGACGATATTAGGGTTGTTCTTGAGCAAAGACGACGGAGTTTAGGGCTGAGCAACTTGAAGATTCTGTTACCTTTTTTTAAATTGTATTTCAATGTATCTCGCTGTATTCCATGAATGTATTCATATGTTTTTTTAATTAATATAATATATGTCACGACCCGGATTTCCCACCCTCGGGAGTCGTGATGGCGCCTACTAATAGGAGCTAGGCAAGCCAATTATCAATTATCTCTTTTAGCAAACCTCGACATTTATAAAAACAACGAAGCATTTAATATAAAAGCGGAAGTCTTAAACATAAATAGACGGAGAACAATGCGAAAGTTCAATACAACTCTACCCAAGAACTGGAGTCACAGACTCACGAACGTCTAGAGAATGCTAAATACAAAGTTTGAATAAAAATATAGTTCTGTTTGTTCCGGTACAAAGGATAACAAACTAAAGTAAAGATAGAAGAGACTCCCGGCCATGCGGACGTCAGCAAGGCTACCTCGGGATCTCTGGACTGAAGTCAGCTCCCAAATGCTCCTACTGCTGTCCAAAAGCTGCTGCTCCGGTACTGTGATCTGTACAAAAAGATGCACAGAGTGTAGCATCAGCACAACCGACCCCATGTGCTGGTAAGTGCCTAGCCTAACCCCGGCAAAGTAGTGACGAGGCTAGACCAGACTACCAGATAAACCTGTGCAGATATATATATATATACAAGTACAACAAAATAATAGCGGAAAGTAAACAATTAAAGCTGGGAGGGGGAAAACATGCTTATGGGGAAGCAGATAAACGGAATATCAGGAATAACAAGAGAAACTACATCTGATTTCTTCTAACACAGAATAAAAGAAAACAAACCACTTTCACTTATTTCAATTTCCTCTCATTGCAGGCGTGCAACACGATCCCATTTCCTTACATCACGTGGTAGGCGTACCACACGCTCCCATTATAATAATATCACGTGGTCGGCGTGCCACACGTTCCCATTTCATAATAACTCGTGGTTGGCGTGACACACGATCCCATTTCATAATATCTCGTGGTCGGCGTGCCACACTATCCCATTTCATAATATCTTGTGGTCGGTGTGCCACACGATCCCATTTCTTTCAATACAATACACAACATAATCCCGGCAAGGGAGAAAGATGTTATAATAACTATCCCGGCAAGGGAGCAATGTAATATAATAAACTATCCCGGCAAGGGAGGTCCAGCTATAACCGAACTCATTCAATCTCTACTTAACACAATTAAATCCACACTTAGTCTCAACAATTACTGGCTCAGTGTTAAAGATTTCCAACCAATTCCTCATAAATAACAATTACAAATTCGATAATTTAGCAAATTAGGACTCACGGTCATGCTCGACGCCAGTGTATAGATACTCGTCACCATGCCTATACACCGTACTCGACAAATAGCAATTAACAAATAAGACTCTACTCCTATTCCCTCAAGCTAGGGTTAAACCAAACACTTACCTCAACTTCCACAGCTAAATCAATCCACAACGACCGCCTTCCCTATCGA